TGTGGTGCATCGTTTACTGTGGAAAAGGGAAGCGTGGAAACAGCAGGTGTGCCCAGAACCAGGAAAAAGGTACAATACGCGATCGAGCAAGAACAAGGACAAGTAGCTAGCTAGGTCGCTTTATTTGTGCTTGCATTGCCGTGCAACAGGTGTATGTTAAGGCAGTGTGGTGTCTAGTATTTGGATCATTTGTCCATCATATGTAATAGGGTTAAGTCCAATTTACACCCTCCAACTTACAGCAAAGTTCGAATTTCAACCTCGAACTTCAAAACCGGACAACTTTGGCCCTCCAACTCTCGAAAAAGTTCAACTTTCAACCTTCTGGGCGGTTTTGTGGGTAAACAGTAACTTTTGATATTTTCGGGAGCGCCGAAATTTTATATTATTTTTTCGAGCATCTTACTGTCCTCAAATGAAAAAACTCAAAACTACAAAGTTGTAGATCTCATTGAGTCTACAATTTACATATAAAAAACATCTTCATCGACATCGTATGATGAAGTTTCTAATTTTTGAAATTTGAAAACCTTCAATGAAACGATGTTGTCGTGATGAAGATAATTTTTATATGTAAATTGTAGACCTCGATGAGATCTACAACTTTTTAGTTTTGAGTTTTTTTATTTGAGGACAGTAAGATGCTCGAAAAAATAATATAAAATTTCAGCACCATATTTTATCGCGTGATGAGACTCAAATTTCAAAAAATAGAAAACCCTTCAATACGATGTCGGATGAAAATAATTTTTATATGTAAATTGTAGACCTCGATGAGATCTACAACTTTGTAGTTTTGAGTTTTTTCATTTGAGGACGTTAAGATGCTCGAAAAAATAATATAAAATTTTGGCGCTCCCAAAAATATCAAAAGTTACTGTTTACCCGCAAAACCGCCCAGAAGGTTGAAAGTTGAACTTTTTCGAGAGTTGGAGGGCCAAAGTTGTCCGGTTTTGAAGTTCGAGGTTGAAATCCGAACTTTGCTGCAAGTTGGAGGGTGTAAATTGGACTTAACCCTATGTAATATGCACATGTCTTCTGGTTGAGAAATATATAAAACTATATAATTGTGCTACCAACTACTGTGGTACATCTATGTAAATCCATATACATCCCGCGTATTAAGGCGCTACTATATACATACGGGCCAAATCCGTTTGTGCCGCGTGGTTCTCTCGTGCGTATCCCGGCCTGACTTTGGGTTTGGGACCGGTCGCTCTCCCCTCCCCTCCTCTTCTCCATCTATCGTGCGCTAGCTACCGCGACTGCTGCCGCTCGCCCCGTCCCTGCCTTTCCCTATATATGCTGCTTCATAATCTCTATACTAGAGCCCGGCCAGCACGCGTATGGTAGCTCATTTCATGATGTGGCCGAAAGAAGCAAGAGCAGATCGAGGCGGTGGGAAGAAGACACCTCTGCTGCTCACCGCTGACTTCTGGCCTCATGCCGCGACTGAGACGCAAGATAGTTATGCACTCGAAAATACGGGAGACGTCCAAGAGTACAGAGATTATTCTAGCATACAGCAAGTCGATCGCCGAAGCACTAAAACCAGACGTAATCAATTCTTTCTTACGTTTCAACCAGAGCTGACGGAGTATGAATTATATTGGATCTCCCGACATGGTGGTGCACTGCTTACGGTGGAAAAGTACTTTTTGGTGCTGCCAACTGTGTACGCTAATTTCCCTTGTACACTACTTGCCATAAGTTACAAAACATCCATGTTTACAATTCAGAATGTGCAGAACTACAGCAGCATGCACCACTAAGTAATAGCTTTCAGTTAAAAAAAAAAGAGATAAGCATTCAGTCATCAAATTCATAGAATTCAGTCATCATGACCTCACAAGGTAGCGGGATACAGGATGTTCCCTCTATGAATTAATAGCATTTTCAAATATTTTCAGTTAGTGATATTGAACTCCTGACGACCTTCTTTTGTTACCCTTGGTTTCCTTCTTGCCGATTCATATTTCAGTACTCCTATAAAAGTAATAATTTGTGAGTTTTCAGTTAGTGAACCATGCATGAAAAACAATCATGAAAATACCAGCTATATGCAACATGTCGTGAGTTCTCAGTAGCAACAGTTTAGTGGCAAAAATCCAAGGCCATCGTCACAAGCACAAGGAAGTCCCCTTAAGAATTATATTGAAGCACTTGCTCAGGGGAGAGGCCATGGAGGACTCCTTCTGGAAGTTCCCTGAACCACGCATGTCCAATTTAAATGTTGAAGTTTCAGTACTCTGAACCATGTCTGTCCAATTTAAACATAGTTCTATGATTGTTTCAAGCTGACAGATGTCCTACCTTAATCAGGCTGGCCAAGCAGTGAACACCAATGTCCTCAGGTACAACTCCTTTGTTTCGCTGGTCTCTCACGTGTTCGTCTTGGTCATTCTCCGGATTAAGGCAAAAGATCCCCTCAGCCTGAAATTGGAATGCAGGAAACTTCAGGGCCTACATAATTTTACTACTTGATACATTTGTAAGGGGAAGTAAATATACCAGGCACTTGCTGGCTGATAGAACAATTCTGAAACAAATGCAAACACTAACAAAAATAGAACTTGAAGCTTAATTAAAAATCATGAAATTGTCTCCTTGGATATTCTAAATAGGTCTGGAGAAGGAGAAAGGACAGACTGTGAGCCTATTCAAAGGGGGAAACAATTTTCATGTAATCATAGTGGAATATGGTGCCAAATCGATTGTTGTAAGCACTTTTTAAATTCTCCATTAGTTTTCTCAAAATATCAGACCTCATTTATAGTCAAAGGATTTATAGAAAATAACTTAAGTAAACACTAACATCTTCTGAATTGTACTTTTGATTCAGGAGAACAAATAAGTTTCAAATTTAATTGGGTCCATCCTTTCAGCTTAGAGATAAGTGCTGGAACTGGAAGCGATGAATCATGCAGCTTCTGACTTTATTTTTTTTTTTTCAGAAACGGTGGTAAACGAGCTTCAGATAAAATTATGGTGGCTGATCTGGCCAGTTGGTGCAACAATAAGTCACCAAGGTAAGGGCTGCGTCTGGGTTCCATCAGTAACACTGCTCTTTTGTGTGTGGTTAGCAAGGCTGTTTTTGTCTATTTTCTTTCCTTTATCAGAAGGTAAACTAGCTCTCTAAGAGACTGCATGTACAGGTTCCTCATGGCAGAAATGGTGGGTTCAGCTATTTTTCAGGAGGCCGTGAGCACTATCCTATTAGGAAAGCGCGAGGACAAGGACTCTGAAACGTACATCATCGAGAGGCTCAAGATGGCGCTCTCTGAATTGGAGTTTGCTCTTGAGATATCTGCTAAGCTGCCAATCACAGATGTGTCACTGCTTCGTCACAGGTAGGTGTTCAAACATGCCTACATAGAGACCACGCATCTGCTCATCAAACACAAGCCACGGTCAGAGCAAGAAGGCCAAGAGACTGAACATATTAGTCATGGTCGAAGTCTGTATACTTCTCATCTCTCATTCGTCTGAACAAGGACCAATCTTCGTGTTTGAGTTGCTCCGATGTTCAAAGATTTGAATGGCTTGCAGATTGTGCCAGGAAATTTGTATGAGATGTGGAGTCAAGCTGTCAACTACGCCACTACACCTTTTGCAACCCTCTCGTCCGGCAACTACTTGAAGGCAAGACCCTTGGGTATGGAAGGGTGCAAGGAACCCAAGTCCGCCATTGTTATGTGTGGCCAATATGTGGCGAAGGGCGTGGCATAGAGGTGGAGCTACAATATCAGTATGAGGATCACAAGATGCCAGGGAAGGGTTTCCATCTATCATTGGTGCTACGACTATCAGAAAGCATAGACATAGTAGGGATTGCTATAAAATGCTTGCAGTCATTGGCATCTCAGTTCAAGCTTAACACTGACTTTGGAATGGGAGAACTACTACCAAATTTAGAAGACATCTCCAATTATCCATATATTCCTGCGGTGGTTGGCATTCGACCACAGCATATATGACAAGGTGATATTTTGCGCCCAGATCCTGTATGCTGCAAAACAAATGGACAGGGACTTGGTGCTACCGACATCATTTCATCAGAGTTATCACACATACTTCCAGAGCCTGTTATATATGCCAGTTTTCGAAGCAACATTTCAGCGCTAGAGTACAACTTTCGTGGATCAACTCATGAAGTGAACAGAAATGCCTTGAGAGGCTTAACAGCTTTGGACCTAGCAGCTGTCATCGCGCCTCATCTTGTGCAGGAAAACCAACAACAGAGTCATGCATATGAAGTTAATATCCTCAAAAAATTAATATAAAATTTTAGGACCATAATAATCGCGTACTAGTGCTTGTCGTATTAGAAAAATAATATCTTTTTGTATGTTGTCAAATGAAAATACTTTTACATCAAAGTTGTAGCTCTCAATTAGATCTACAACTTTGTTGTTTTCAGTTTTTACATTGAGGTCGTTAAGATGCACGAAAAAATAATACAAAATTTCAGCAGCTTAATAATCATGCACTAGGTCAGTTTTCGGTCTTTTCGGTCAAAAAAATGGTATTGCAAATATCTGTCAAATCATGAGTTTTCAGCATGCAGTTTTCAGCAATCAATGCTATTGCAAATATCTGTCAAATTGCTGATTAGTCAATTAGCTGGTATAAAAAACAAATTCTCAATCAGATCATGAGCTAGGTTTTGCAGAGTTCATGCTGTGTGGCATATGCTAATCTATGCAACCTCTATATATGGTGCTTCATTTTATGAAAAGTTGACAAGCTAATTCCAGCACATGCTGAAACAGTCAGTCAGATAACTTTTACCCTTTCAGATGCATTCTCATGTTGCGCAAACAAATGGAGCAACATACCTCAAATGAACCATTCAGTTCCAAGTTCATGGTTATGTACAGAGACTGTACTATGATTTGAACATGCATATTCAGTTCCAAGTGCATTTCACAAAAAGCTGAAACAACCATCCTCAATGCAGAAGTAAAAAAAGACTAATTTGAAACAGTCAGATTCAAGTTTCAATATTGCAGCTTGACAGTGATTAATTTGTCTGCTGGCAATTGCAGTTTCCTGGTAGCACAATCTGAAAAGCACCAAGCATAAGAATTATAAAATTGTAGTAGAATAAAAAAGTTGTTAAAGACGAAACGATAAAGAGTGCCGACTGTGTAATATCAACAAGCAGGGTAAATTAATGTACAAGCCAGAATGCTACAAAATATTAATAATATATAGTTTCTTAGTGCAACTTCCGAAGGTAGTCAAGGTCTGGTTTTTATGGCATGAGATTTAGAACTGACATAGTACAAGATATATGAAAATAATAGATCAACAATGACTGGGTTGAGGGAAGAACAACATCCAGCATGACACATCTTGGTAGTTTATCAAATTCTACTTAAAAAATCGATGCCAACCACAATCAGATGTGATATTCATAATTCATAATAATGTCATATATTTGGTTTCTCTAAAACAGACCAAGATTGTCACTAATATTAAGTTTTATATATAAATACTATTTGGATTCTAATAAATATATACAAAATCAAAAGTAAGATAAGAAAATAGATAGAAGTGCAATGTTAAGTTTTACAGATAAATATTATTTGCATTCTAGTAAATATATACAAAATTAGAAGATAAGAAAACTCATACAAGCTCTACATTGCATGATAACATCTAGGCAATGGACTATAATGTACCTGGAGTGTAGAAGCTCATGAATGGGAAGATGGTGAATTCGGTCACAAGCTCAGTTATCCTCTTCTTGAGACCTGACCTGAGGTCCAATGCAAAGGTACCGGCCTCTGTGCTGAGACAGATGACACCAATACCATCAGCAAAACCAACGGCAAGGATTGTGTGCCATGGATTGTCAATGCGGATGACCTTGTATTGTACCCATCTAGTAAGTCCCTCGGGATCCACTTTTCTTGACCACAAGTAAAGGCTTGAACCGGCAAACCCCAGTGAACGATCCTCAGTTACAATGAGAACATCAAACCATGTAAGGCGCATCGATCATAGATAAGCAATTCTTGTCCAGATCAAATTTCACAATGTTGTTACCCTCGGCAATGTTGAAGTAGAGTTCATCTCCAATAAGAATACCAGTCTTGGTGTTGGTGCAAACAACATCCCCATTCCTGTGTCCAGATAGATTGGTGCCCCCCATGCCCCAGTCTTGGAAGAGTACACACACGCCCACGTCTTCATGCGGCCACCGTAGGCGACCATTTAAACGGAGAAAGCCAGAGCCCACGGAGACAACGAGGAAGGGGCCACGGTGGCAATCGTGGTGATTGCAGCTACTCACGGCGCACAGAACCGCGGAGGAGCTCTGATGATAGACGGCGATTTGGTTCCAGGGCAGCCTCTGGCAGTCTCCTGTGATGGGGTCCCAGACAAGGAGTTTATCTGCGTTTCTCGGTGCCCTGCAGAGGACCCGCCCATGGCGGCAGTCGAGCGTCCACATGCGGTTGTAATCGAACGGCGGCGGTTGGAACAAGGCGGGTGCCGATGTGGTGGGGACGAAGCGAGGCATACGTTTCGGTGCGGTGTCATTGGAGAGGAAGAAGCCGAGCATGGGAGGTACGCGGTGGAACTCACGGTAGGCGGCGGCCGAATGCCAGGTCGGAGAGGATGCGGCGCCAGAGATTGCAGACGACGGAGGCACGGACGAGGTGCGCGGGCTCGTCTGGCGGGACGCGGAGGAGGATTTCTGTGATCGTGTCTTCGACGAGCACCGGCGGCGCCGTGTGCAGCAGCCTTCTACTTGGTGAGATCTGAGAGGAGATCGACTAGGGTTTGGTGGAGATTCGCCGATTTGGGGAAGAATGCGGAAGAGCGACTGAGCGAGGCGATATGATGGTATGGGCTCTCTTTTTTTCCCCCTTATTGTGTGGGCCTCACCTCACTGAACGGCTTTTCTATTGATGGTAAATGTTGTGGTCTTTAGAGGAAGCAGCGTACTCATCATTAATTAAATGCCACATAAGACTCCTCTCTCAGTCCGAAGACTTTGTTCTTTTTATTAGAGTTCAATTTAGCTAGAAGTTATGTTTGTCGTGATTCAGGTAGACATGTTTCTAGCGGCCCAACAAGCCTGTCTCCTCCTCTATACGTCTCCCACATCTCTCTCAAAAATATATTCCTACTCGCTCGTCTATCGCACGCTTCGCAGCGCCGTGCGGCCGTCAGCCCACCCCATTCCACATTCTCTGTGGCCATCTCCCCCCGCGCATCCTCATCCTGCACTGCTCGTTCCTCGCTCTTGCCCATCGCACGTCCCACCTGCGCCTCTTATTCCTTGCTCCTGTAGTCCCACCCGCGCCGTCGGACCCGCCGCCCGCCTCTGCTAGTGCTGGTGGTGCCATCACGCGCCTCAGGTGGTCCCCACCGAGCCAAGGGCACCCACGATCGTAGCCTATGCTGGTGGTGCTCGCGCTCCCTCTCGGCACCGGCTCCCTCTCCGAGGCCGAAATAAACCAGCCCTGGCCTCTCCCTCCCCCTATGATACAAATAAATGTTTACAGTGTTTCAGATGTCATATCAGAGGTATGTTGTTAGTGTTTTATATGTATGTTGCAAAAGTAGATCGGGATGTCGTATATTTGTTCCAAGCGTTTTTTATCTGAATGGATGTTGCACATGTTTCACATATATGTTGCAAGAGTATATTCGAAAATGTTTCATCTATTTCAGTCTTACGTTGCAATAAGTGTTTTCATGTTGCAAGTTGTAAGTTTTTTATTTAGATGTTGCATATGTTTCACACACACGTTGCGAGTGTATGTTCCAAATATTTCATCAGCTTTAGACGTATGTTGCATTCAAGTGTTTCATGTTACAAGTGTTTTCATGTTTCCGAGGTATGTTCAGAGAGTCATGGGGGCCGGGGGAAGGAACACGGTGAGCTGGGTGCTGGCGGATGGGGCGCGCGACGTGCCTGGGGTCCTACGGACAGGGCGTGCTCATCCTCATCCCGGCTCTTGAGTGCCGCCCATGTGAAGAGAGAGAGAGAGAGGAGGAGGAGATCAGGCAGAAGGAGCTCCGGGCGCGGGATGGGGCGAGGCAGACGGGGGTAGGGTGCATGTGCGGGCGGATGGGCGCGGACGCGCGTGTGTAGCAGCGAATGGAGCAGCGGCAAGCGCAGGCGGGCGGGCTGGCGACCGAAGCCGGAGTCGCACGATGGCGTTTTTTATGGGCCGTTCTGCTAGGCCATTTGGTGGGAGTGTGCCCAGGTTACCATCCAACGAAATCCTATCACATTGGATGTCTGGGCGCCAACAATTCATAATACGGAATTAACAAAGAGAGATAAAAGTTGTATCATTCTAGAGATATAGTTTGGGTACAATATCCAAAAGTTAGGAAACCGTGCACTGCACAGTTCTTGGTCCTATTGTCATAGATAGAAGGTATAATAACCAATTACTCCCTCGGTCCAAAAAAAGAATGCAATTACGAGCTGCGTACCGGCAAAAGTACTTCATATTTAATCAAATTTCTAGTGAATACTATTTATATTTTGGTTCCAAAATGATTTATTATGAAATTACATTTCATAATTAGTCTAATGATATTTATTTGATATCATAAATATTGATACTTTTTAATCTATACTATAATTGATCGAACTGAAGATACTAAACCATGACACACCATAATATTATGCATAAAAGAGCATCAAGATCTATGATACTAAACTAGTATCATTAGATATACTATCAAATATATTTTTATGATACATTTATTTGGTGTCATAAATAATAAGTTTATTGGTTACATGGAAATTAAATTTTGAGAAAAGGAGAAAACTAAGAGGTGTCCAATCAGCCTTGACTTGGAGGAAACGCGATGGTGTTGGAGGGACCTGATAATAAGCTCCGATTAAAAATAATGGTCAGCTACAAATTTAATGTTGCGGACATCCTACTCAAACGCAATATTTTTTTAGATATTATAAATTTTATAATACAGGTGTTGACTTGAATTATATGGTCTTATTTCTGGTCTCCGGTGCAACGTAGGCGCACAAACGCTTTGTGGTATTTAAAAATTAAAATGGTGCAGTAGGTTGCTGAAAGAACATATATGGTAACTTAAGGATAACACTCCATTAGCATTTATAGTAATGACAAAAGTGATGGAACAATTAGACCAACAACGCAACTTCGTGGAAAGCAAGACGAAGCTTCTGCTACATTGTCATTCCTGTGGAAAACCAAGTCGTTTTATAGTTGTATAGTATATAATTGCCGACCGGCGGGTGATGACAGTGAGTTCCACTTACATACGGAGTGGTTGATAAGATGGAGTAATCTCGCTAACTGATGGTTAACTACGACCAGTAGCTAATTAAAGAGTAAAGACCACGGTACATTTCATTAAGGGACGAGCAAAACAGTACAACAGGAAGAATATGACAACACCCAACACGGAAAATATATACCATGTTTTTTTTAATACAACCACTGCACACCTTTTTTTTTGTGAGGGAACTGGAGGGGCCTTTGCCCCTACACAGATTTTATTGAAATTAAAGGTTATTTTTTACAAAGGAAAGATTACAGTGCAGTCCACAACAACCACTGCACACCTTCTTCGCAGCTCTGCTCCTGAGCACACCTTATCTTGGAGACCTGGACCCTTCCTTCCATGGCGAAACTGTGATCGGGGTTCAGCTGGTGCTCCACACGCGCGTGGCTCCAGCAATCTGTAGCAGACTTAAGGTAAAAGATTAGGTTTAGTGGTGGTTTGGATCTTTAACTTCTGAGGAATTGAAATCCACTTAAAGGATTAGACTATTCTACAATTTTCAAAAGTTCAAATATAAGGCTATCTTAAATTTATGGGGTAGAAGACAGAAATTGATTCTATGAATCCCCATGCTATATTTCTACCATACAACTTCTAGCACGCTATTTGGCTCCATCCCCTCTTGCAGAAATGCAACACATAAGTATATGTCCCTCATGTGGCCAAGAATAATATACAAATATATCCCGCACACAAGTATATTAGCTTAATTGGTCTGTGCCTAGATTATGATTATTGGAATGGAATTCAATTCCAAGTACCTTACATTAATTCCATCAGTATCCCAAGCTTGTGTGCCATATATACTACTCAAGATCTTGTACGCCTCAAATTAAAGTAGTAGCTCCTTTTGTTTCCTCATCAGGCGGAGAGGACCATACTGTACATAGGTACTTTCCTCAAGAACCAATACAATGTTTAATTTTTTTTAAAAAAAACTGGTACAAGTTTCTTATTTTTCATGATCTATTAAAATGAATAGTTATTTTGCTACAAGTTGACCAATTTTGTTCGGTACTTTTAGCTTAGTGGTCAAAGATTTCTGAATTAAGAGTTGTATATGGCCCAAAGCAAACTCGAGCATTAGTTAAATGGCCAAAACTATATAGAAATAAACTTTGGTGACTCCAGCCTCGTATTCTTTCCAACAGATTTTTATCGTCAGTTGGCTCATGTGCTCTGCTGCAGTAACAGGAAACAAAGGTAATGGTGCTGCCACCTCCTAGTCCTTAAATCATGCAGCCCAAGCTAGTAACTTGAGAGAAAAAAATCATGAATAGACTAAGGATTCATAGTTTATCAGAATTTCTTGTATTTACTCTTTCTCTTTAATTCTTTCGTAGTCTAATTAACACAATACTCACATATATATAGACAGATCTTTCTTTTCTGTCCAGTTGCAATAAATTGTAGCTACCTCTTTTCTATCCATATTCATAGTTTTCCCGTTTCAAATTCACCTCGACACGTGCTTATCATGTGTTTGGTTAAAATCTCAACATGAGGTTTTGAACGATCTAGTGTTGAATTTCTCCTCGAAATGTTTGAACCGTAACTTTTGGGCTTTTGGCTCAAAAGCTAGCTTGTGTTATCTTTTTGCTATCGACTTCTGTAATAAATTTTATTAGCTTCTGACACACCAAAGTCAGAAAAGTGTTTTCTAGCTTTTAGTTTACTTCCCCACGAGCCAGCAAACAACTGAAACAAACAGACCCTAAATGTGGCTGCATTCATGGATGTATTGCCGACATCAGTAGCGTCAGCCACACATCAATTACCTTTGGTTAGTTTTTCTAGATTAACAATTATAGAAGTCGATAATTTAATAGCAAAAATCTAAGTATTCTAGGTTAATTTTATAATGGTACGTAACTTTAGATGTAAATACAAAGGGTTTATAGTTGGTTATTTGTATACATTTGCATATGTGAGATATTTCGACGCACATTTTCACAGGATTTCTGTACATAAAAACTACGGGTTATTATATATTTTCACCATAAATACATAGCTGAGTGATTTAATTATTTGAAGATTATGTGGGTATTTTAGATATCTTTGATGATGGCATAGATGGGTAATATATCGAGATGCAGATTATGCATTACTTTAGCTTATTCTTCATAATGATATAGGTGGAATGTGGGTAATTTTCATAGATTTTGAGGGTTAATTTACTTTTGTGTATTTTTGTAACAGTAGATTTGGATAATTTTTTAGAACACAAAATAGATCCATGGTATTTTTCTTGATGACAATTAGATT